ACATTTGTGCTTTTCAGCAAGTGTTTTTCTGATATGATTAAGAGGGATTTTTCTACCTGCTACATCTACCTCAGTAGTTTTAAAAGATTTATCATCAGTTATTGTAAGGATTTGGAACTTTTGTGGTATAATTAATTCACCAATGGTATATTCTCCTTTAGACACTTTCTCTTTTATATTCAACTTAATTTTTTTTATTGTTGGTTCAGCAGGTATACTAATATCTGTTGCATGAATTTTCTTCTTACATCGTCTTATTATTCTATTTCCTTGGCCTTTATATTTCAAACAACTTAAGTCAACACCTTTACTTGATAGAAACTGTTTTACAATTTGACCCCTATTTTTAGCTATCTCACCATTACTGTTAATAACATTGTATTTTTGTGCTAGCTCAGTAAAATTGATTTTTGTACCTGGCACATAAGAAACTACCTCCTTCCAACAATCATTTTCATTCCATTTATTTGTGTAGTTTCCAGTATGATCTTTAAGTTTATTTGGATTTTTTTTTTCATTACGAACTTTTAAGTTTGCAAAAGTTTCAAAGCTTTGATTCATTCGTATTTTTGTAGCTTTCCGCAAAGATATTTCAGTTCCAAATGCCCTATAAATAAAATATTTTTATTTATTTAAGAGGATTTTTCAATTTGGAAAATACAAAATCTCAATTTGAATCTACTAAATAAAGTTATATAAAAAACAGTTTTAGCTTTTTAAAGATTATGTACCTTACAGCTGCTGTTTCTTCAAAGCATTTTTCAACACTGCATTTGAATAACCTTGCATATTTATTGCGTAATTTTTTTGTGTCAGTTCTTGATGGTTTCTGAATTAAGTTTGAATCAGGTATGAGGGGTATTGCATTTGTTATTGGCATAAAGTATTGTTTTTTAAATTTTCTATTTGCTTCATCCAATAAAGTACTTGCGCAACTTATTAAATTTTCTTTGTTTCCAGTTGCGATTTCATTTGACAAAAGATAACTTGCTTTTTTTTTGTAAAACTTAGTGTTTGTTGGGATTAAAGATAACACATTTGCATTAAGCTTAACACACTCTTGACAGTTGGAAAACCTGTGTCGACATTTTTTTGTTAAACTAAGTTTAATCCATGCATTTAAAGAAAATGTGTCCATTATTATCTTCTTTTTTGCACTATGTCGTTTAGAAAGATAACATAATTTTGCCTTAATCTTAGGAAAATTTCGACGATGGATATCATTAGAGACAGCAAAATTTTCTTTTTGACAGCTGAATATTGAATTATATTCATCAATTCTTTGCTGTAAGGAAGCCTTTGACATCAGCAGGTTAAACACAATAACTTTGACATAACCACACGATAATGGATCTATTATAGACATAGTGATGATCTATAAAGTTTAAAGAGTAAAAAATATTATATTAACTGATATCACAGTCATTCCATACTTTAATTTAAAAAGTTGATTGCATTTATTTTTAGAAGCAATGAAACTAACTTGTTTATAAAGTTTATATGCTGCTGATATGAAAATCAAAACTAACTTGTTTATAAAGTTTACCGCCTCTTTTTTCAAATTGTTGACGCATTCTGCTGAATGGAATAAATTATTTTTTTAAGATGCCGAATAAGTCCCGAGTATTTCAAAAAATGAAACTAAATACCGAAAACAGTTTTTTAATTGGGGCTTAAAGTTGTGAATATTTATGTAAAAACGACTTTTGCAGAAACATTAACACTACCATAGTTATCTAAATCTAATTTGACATTATTGTTAAAATTATTCATTTAGGTGTGGTATTGAAAATATTAACTTCAATTTTCATAAAAAAATAGTTTTTCATGGATATTTTCCCCAAATAATGTCTAATCGTAAATGTCACGTTACATTCATTGAAAACAAACACCAAGACATGCTTTTATGAAAAAATCAAATTTATAGACTCATCTATAGCCAAGCCCCACGGTACTTTATGTTGAAAATTACATCTTTTCTAAATAAAACTACGCTTGACGATTTGTTAAAGTCGCATTACTTTTACCAGATTATAATAGTGGTTAAAAAAATCTTTCCAAACATACCAAACATGTCATACTTTTTGACAAAAAAATTTACATATATTGCAATTGAAAAATCTTACATTTTTGTTCGAAAAAACGTGTACCAGGCCTTAGTTGCATTGAGTAAACAGCTTTTGATAATAAATAAACAAAAGTTTTTTAAAAAATTTTTAAATGAATGAACTTTTGATGTTTAGCTTGCTATTTTAGTTTACGCAAGGAAAACGAAAAAATGAAGTATAAACTTTTTCAGACAGTTTTTTTTCCTTTCAATATTCTTTTTAAAATAATAGAAAAAAAGGTTTCAATAACTTAATAAAATTTTTAATTAGATCTGTTTAAAATAACCCATAGTAAATGTAATTTATTTATTCAAATATAATTTTTAAATTATTCTTAATTATTAAAAAATTATAATTTTTAAAAGATATGTTTTTAAAAATATAATATGGTTTTTAATCAAAATAATAGAATATGTTTTACTGTAATCTCTATTTAATTTATCTCTTTAATTATCTGAACTGATCTCAAGATCTACTATAAAACGTCGTTTACGTCACACTAATTTGTTTGGAAGACGCCCAGCTAAAAAACCATTAGTTTCCTTGAAAAACCGTAACACCCGAATGGAATTTGCATCAAAACATCTAAAGTGGAGTAGTCAAAAATGGTCAAAAATTCTATTTAGTGACGAAAGCAAATTTGCGGGAAAAAAAAAAAACGAAAAAAAATCTGATTCCATCAGATCCAAAGATCTGATGGAATCAGGTATGTTCGGCGTCCAGTAGGTACAATCCTAAATACCAACTGCCTACCATAAAACATGGAGGAGGTCATGTAATGGTTTGGGGATGTTTTAGCCGAAATGGAGTTGGTCCTCTCCATAGAATTACCGAGAATATGAATCAAGAAAAGTACAAAGATATATGTAAGACTATTATGTTACCATATGCAAAGGATAAAATGCCTCGAGGATGGATTTACCAACAGGATAACGATCCCAAACATACAGCTAAATCCGTTTTAGAGTTTTTTAAAGAGAGTAAAGTTAATGTTTTGAAGTGGCCATCCCAATCACCTGACTTAAATCCCATTGAACATCTATAGGAACATGTTGACCGTCAAATGAAAGGAATTAAGCCTACAAATTATGCTGATTTATTTAATAAAATCAAAGAATTATGGGACTTAATTCCCATTGACAATTGCATTAATTTAGTTGACTCTATGCCTCATAGATGCCAAGCTATTCTTGATTGTAAAGGATATCCTACAAAATACTAATGTGATTGCAAAAATTTTGATCAAATATTGTTGAAATATTTTAACTATTTTAAAAAATAATGCTTTGTCCGCAAATTTTTGAATTTATCAAAGACCGTTGGTTTGTATACCAATTTAAAAATATTACTTAGATAATAATTATTTGTTCAAAACCTAATCGTAAATTTGAAAACCTTTTAATTGGTGTATAATATGTTGGCTTTAGTAAAGTATGTGCTGAAATATAATTAAAATTCTTTATTTTTTTGCCTGTCCGCAAACTTTTGGACGCTACTGTATATATATATATATATATATATATATATGTATATATATATATATATATATATATATATATATATATATATATATATATATATATATATATATATATATATAAATGCAATGTTCTACCTGATATAATATTATATTATATTACATAGAACCTTGTACTTATTTATATATAGTTTTTGTGTGTGTGTGTGTTTATTTTACATATTAGATAGAATATTTTATTTATTACATTTGTAGATAGAACAAGAAAATACTGTGGGGATTATATGTTAATTACATTAATATTACAAGAATATATACATAACAAGTGTCATTTATTGTAGCATGAAACAAATTCATTAGACGAGCGTTTTATATATATATATATAAATATATATATATATATATATATATATATATATATATATATATATATATATATATATATATATATATATATATATATATATATATATATATATATATATATGTATATATATATATATGTATATATATATATATATATATGTGTGTATATATATATATATATTTATATTATATATATATATATATATATATATATATATATATATATATATATATATATATATATAAATATAGATATATATATATATTATATATATATATATATATATATATATATATATATATATATATATATATATATATATATATATATATATATATATATATATATATATAAATATAGATATTTATATATATATATATATATATATATATATATATATATATATATATATATATATATATAAATATTGAAAAGGTGTAATATTGTAATTGTAACTTGCAATATTAATATTTTTTGTGACTCATCTTTAATTATCCAAATTTAGCAAAAGTAAAATTAACATAATTGCTAATACTTTAATTAAAATCAAATATAATTTTTTTTTTTTAATTAAAAAATAAATAAAAATATTTTATAGAATAGTTTAATTCTATTTTATTAGTTGCTGTTTAAATATAAATTTTAGTTGCTACTAAGTAGTTGTGTTTGACAATCAATTTTTTTATGATAATGAAATGTTTGAAAAAACAGCAAAATTTGTTTTTTTTTTTTGTCCCCATTTTAAAATAATATTTTCATTCATCAAATTATGTTTAATCTAGATCTATTCCCAAAAATTCCCTTAACCACAATTTAGACATTAACCATTTTAATCAAAAGTTCAGATATTTATTTATGCTCTAGAAAATAAATTTATAAAAATATTATGTAAGTTGTTTTTAGTCATATTGAGGTCCTTTTTTTCCAAATATGTCATATGGAGTGCAAAGAAAAAATGATTCAATGTATAGTATAGAAAGTAGTATATAGTATATAAGTATAGAAAAATTCAGTAAACAGTTAAAAATATTTCAAAATAAAATTTCAGGCACCTGTTTTGTGCGTACTGATCAACTGGATGGGGAAACAGACTGGAAATTGCGTATTGCTGTTCCTTCTTGTCAACATTTATTGTCTGATCAAGTGCGTTATTTACAATTAATTTAACTATTATTAACTTATATTTAGATTTAACTTAAAGATATTGTTAAGAATAAGTTTATTTAATTTTTTTATTTTCATTTCAACCTTATTATAAATCTACACTATAATAATCTATTTTTGTCTAAATTTATTTTAATCAGAAGTGCACATGTGTTCTTTTTTATTAGATTATGGAGGTCCAGTTTCTGCTTTTTATTTAACAACAAAATCTTGTTTATATAATATTTTATAGGTTAAAAAAGTTTGATTAACCAATTAAGTTCGATTAATCATTAGTTTGAAATATATATTTTTTAAATTCCTTTTTGATTTAAGGGCTTTGTGAAAATAGAAACAGTAAAAGAAATACGAAGTTTTACCAAAGAAAAATTACTAATTACCAATTATACTAAATTACTAATTACCAATTATACTAAATCCTTGTTCACATATATTTTGTTCTTTGTAACTACTTGATTGTTTATATTTTTTAGGACTTGTTCACACTAAATGCATCATTATATGTAGATAAACCTGAAAAAGACATTCATAACTTTGTTGGAACATTTTCAAAGGTGAATTAGAAATTTAGTTTAAAAGAAAAAATATATTGAGTATGATTATTTGAATTATTCCTTTATTATATTAATTTTGGTATCGTACTAGATTAGTTGTGGTAAAGAAGAATCTGAATCATTAAGTGTTGAAAATACATTATGGGCTAACACAGTTGTTGCATCAGGTTTTTATTTAAAATTTAAATAATTATGTAATATCATTTTTATATTACTAAATAAATAATGGTTCTTATGCTTAACTAAAAATGGTGTTTTGAAACAATTAACAATTATTTTTGTGTAAATTACGAAAATATTTAATTGGGCATAAAAATGAATCGGCTAGTCCATTAGGCTAGGTTTAGATTAAGTTAAGATATTGCAATTGAGTTAAGAAGGAACATTTAGAATATAGTATTTTATTAGTATTAGTAAACACTGATTGTGCATTAACCTAAGCAGGCAAGTATTAGCAAGCTATTCCATAATTTGGCTGATCTATTAAATAAAAAGTTTTCATGACTTGCTTAGTGATTTCTTCGACATATTTAAAGCTGTGACCTCTTGTTTGAGTTTGTTGAAATTTTTTTGATTGTTTCTTTTTTGGAAAAATTGTTGAAAACCATTAAAGAATTTAAAAAGTTGAATCTTGACTTCTCTTTGTATCTTTTAGTTAAGTTAATCAAGTTAAGAGATTTTAGAGGATTCTCATAGCTGATTTTCTTGAATGGTAGTTAATACAAGTTGCACAATGTTGAGTTTTTGTTAAATCAATTTCATCTATTCAAATTGGTGACTGAAAACTGGTACTGCAAACTCTAATAAAAAAAATTAGCTCAAGAGTTAATATCTAAAGGAAAATTTTCTAATCTGACCCATTAATTTTGACATTTGGTTGGCTTTGCCTATGCATTTTATTATTTGATTTTTCAATACAAAAAAGTAATTTTTTGTTATTTCATTAAAAGTATTTTAAATGTATGAACATACATTTAAAAATAATAATTACTGACACCTGTGGCACATTACTAGTAATTTCTGCCTAAGAAGATACATTTTTGTGTATCTTTTGTGTATCACAACTCTGTATTCTTTCTTTTAAAAAGGCTTCAATCCGTTGAATTGTGATACCAGATGTTCCATAAGCTGTTTGTTTAAACAACAATGTTTTATATAGCACTATCAAATGTTCTGGCAAAATCTCCCCTCAAAAACAAAAACAAAAAAACAATAGGTTTACCATTCTCTAAGGTGGTTGAAGTAAAATCAAGTGTTTCAAGTTGACTTGTTGAGCATAATTTATTTTTAACAAAATGTGTTGTTGCTTGACTGTTAGTTTGAACTTATGCAAAGAGGTTTCTCTTCTCATCTAATAATCCATTTTACATGCAATTGGAGATTGAATAGCAATCTCCACTTGCATGTAAAGTGTAATTGGATTCTGCTTGCTGATTGTTTATGCATGATGGCTCTTTTTACTTAATTAAGCTTAAAGTTTTGTTGCACTTTTTTGGTCTTTCTTGATCTGTTTCTTGATCTTTGATCTGGAGATTTTGGAAATCATCTAAAGATTACAATAAAAATATATAATGAAAAGAAAAAATTTCAATTATGTGTAAATTCAGATTTCTATGATTAAAAATGATGTTTTTCTCAGAATATACTATGTTTAAGAAAAGGTACTTTTCTAAAACATAGTATATTTTTAACATGACCTTTTTTTCGTTTTTGTATAGGAACTGCTTGTGGAGTAGTCATATATACTGGATATGAAACTCGTAGCGTCATGAATACTTCAGCACCAAAGTCAAAGGTGTGTATTTTTTTTGAGTAATTCAGGATAATTATTTATTATTTAATTTATTTTGAGAGATTAATATAGAATTTTATAGAAAAAAAATAATTTATATCTAGTTGTTTTTTATAATTATATATTTTATTGTTTTTTACAATTAATATTTTTTGGTTTATTTTTCTTACTTAAAAATGAATGTATAGACAATTTAGTAAGAGGAATAAAATTTCATGACTCAGGGAGTGGAGCAACCATAACTCACGCTCTTTGTCATTCAACAAATAATAAAACAATGGCCTATGAGTAAACAAGTCTATATAAATCTGCTGGTGAATAAATGGCTACCATGACTAAAATTATAATAAATACCATGAGTAAAATTATAATAAATGATAGTTCGGGTAGTATAAAAATAAAAATAAAAAACGAACCCATTCGAGGTTCGAACTCTGAATCTTTGGTTTATGAAACATTATGCTAATCCACCATGCTATAGTGTCATATGCAATTATCTAAAAAAAAAATCTAATAAATGTGGAATTATTTATGGTCTAAACAGACAATAAATTGAAAACTGATAACCACGTGTGTAACAGCAAAATATATAAATATCGTTAATGTAACAAATATATAATATAAAGCTCACAAAGCTCTAAAATTCATGGGTGTAAAAAAATGTTTGAGCCAATTCAAATTAAGTAATTTAGTAATTAAGTAAAATTAAGATGAATAGTGAACATTGTAACTGTGTTTATGTATATAAATACACACATTCACATACATACGCATATATATACATATATACATATATATATGTATACACATACATACATACATACATACATACATACATACATACATACATACATACATACATACATACATACATACATGCCTGCATGCATACATACATACATATGCACATATACACATTAGGGTTATGACTTTTTGACTTTTTAAAACATTTTTAAATTAAAAAAAAAAAAAATACTTGTGTCATAAATCAATGAATTTTATTTGAAAACATTGAAAACATGTTCAATTCCTCTCGGTTGTAAAAAATGGTCACCCCACAATTCAAATAACATTTTGTCATTTATTTAATCTTCTTACTGCTACAACTAGTATGTATGGCTTTCGTGCAAATCATTTAAAACTTGTATAGATTTAGAAGTGTTTAGAACTTTAGAACATTTTGGAAAATAAAAGAATGTTTTAAACTATATATAGCTGCTCATCTAATTTTATAGCTATTACAGAGAAGTCATCAAGTTGTGGAAGAATAAACTAAATTTTCCTTGTTTATCTGATCAAGTTATACGAGCAAAACTTGATAAAATAATGAAATGTTATGATGAATGTGTCAAGCGGGGAAGCTACAAACCCATTGATGATATTTTTGATATAACTAAAGTGGATGGAACATGGTTATCTTCCGAGAACAAGTGATTGTACCATCTCTAAGTGGAAAGCAAAGGAGCAGTGGGATACTCTACAGGCCAAGCGGCCAGTAAAGAAACAATCCATCACTCTAAAAGGCAAAAACTTTTTAATTGTCTTACTATCCTGATTTTTGTGATTCTGACTCTGAGGCTGATGACAGTGAAAATGAAAACAATGAAGAAGAAGATGATACAAATCCTACAACCAAGCAGAAAACATTATAAAAGCAAAATCCACAAGAGTATCAGTAAACAAAGCTGCTAACATATGCAAGCAATTGGCTTGCAAAGGCATTGACATCCCAACTCCATGTCAATCAGCAATTTACAACTCAACAAAGAGGCAATCTAGCTGAAAGAAGAAATGATTGAAAAGTTGCATATGGAAAATTAGTCCTTACACTTTGATGGCAGAATGGATTATCAAGTGGTCGTCCTTAAAAATGATTTCGTTTCGTGAAGGATGAAGAACTTGGAAGTAAAACACAATTGCCAAGCATCGAATAACTATTTGTATCTCAACTGTTGAAGGAATACCAACAACTGAAAGCACAGTTTGATAACGAAACAGAAGTAATTCTCGAAACATCAGGCTGGAGAGATAATATGAAGTTTTTTTTTCATCTCACTCGAGTGTTCCGATTTTTTGAGGAAAAGGGACATTTTCGATTGATCAGGTTTCAGAAAATACCCAACATCAGCAATGCGAGGTAAAATTCCATATATATAGCTATAGTAGCGATCCTGGCTTTTATTTTAATTCTGTCAACAATAAAAAGTCGTGTGGACTATGACGTTCTAAATACATTTGAATACATAGTAGTACTTATGTTGAAATCGATTTTTCAATGGCGGGGTGAAATTTTTTCAAAAGATATGCAAATAGTTAATTTAATGTTTTAACTAAAGTCATAACCCTAATACACATGCATACATACATACATACATACATACATACATACATACATACATACATACATACATACATACATACATACACATAATATATACAAAATAGTGACAATGGTAATAAATAAAATAAGTAATAAGCAGCAGATAGCACATAGTACTTCAAAGTGATTTACCATTTTTTTAAGATTGCAATATATAATTATGTATATACGAGGTGTGTTCGAAAATTAAGGTGACTTTGTATTTTTAGGAAAAAATATTTATTTATTTATCAATATTTATTTTTTCCCCTTCAAAGTAATCCCCCTCAGATACAATACACTTATGCCAACGGTTTTTCCAATCTTCAAAGCACTTCTTATAAGCACTCTTCGGTAAAGCCTTGAGCTCTTCCAGCGATGCAGTCTTTATCTCTTCAATCGTTCCAAATTTCTGTCCTTTCATAGGTCTCTTTAGATTTGGGAAAAAGAAAAAGTCCCATGAGGCCAAATCCGGTAAATATGGTGGCTGAGGCATGATTGTGGTGTTGTTTGTGGCTAAAAAATCTCTCAAGCAAAGATGAGTGAGCAGGGGCATTATCGTGATGCAAAAGCCATGAATTGTTTTTCCACAATTCTGGACGTTTTCTTCGTATTGTTTCTCGCAAACGGCGCATAACTTCAAGATAATACTGTTTATTGACCGTGCAACCATTTAGTAAGAATTCCTGATGCACAACGCCATGGTAATCGAAGAAAACAGTGAGCAAAACTTTGACATTTGATTGAACTTGGCGTGCTTTTTTCGGTCTTGGCTCACCTGGGCTCTTCCATTGGGACGATTGGGCTTTGGTTTCGATATCATAACCATATAACCATGATTCGTCACCAGTTATGACCCTTTTAAGTAAATCTAGGTCGTCGTTGATGTCATTCAACAGTTCTTGAGCGATGCTGATGCGACGGTTCATTTGGTAAAAATTGAGCGATTTTGGAACAAACTTTGCTGACACAAGATATGAACAAGGATAAAAATAGTATGTGGTAAAAGTACACAAACATTGTGTAGAATATAGTAAGACTATTAGTCCAGAGAATATAAATCTCATCTGATAAGCGGAGACAACTGAAAATAATGTAAAAGATAATAACAAATTGATAAATCTAGATAACCAGCTAATTCACAATATAATTATTGGATAAACCAGAAAATAAAAAATAACTCAATATGCAGAAAACTATATGAGAGTAGATCAACACAGGTTGTAGGCTTGTTATTGATAAGCATCTCTAGCGGACTAAAAAAATAGAGTTAAATAAAAAATTGTTTACATAACCATATGAACGCAATTGAAGACTGTATAGTCCAAAGCCAAAACAAACTAACTTATTGACACCAGATAAAATTTATTAGGATCAAAAAATCTAACAATATTGTAGTTAAATACAGAAAATACAACCAAAATTCAAAGTGTAAGCTTTTAGAGTGACTAAAAGATAATAAAAATAGAAAAAGGTTAGTGATTTAGTGGCTGAACGGCCACTTAAACATAATTAAGGTAATAGTATAACTAAATGGACCTATCTTGTACAGAACGCTAATCGTTATCTATTTCTGTTTAATTTTGGGTTATTCCATATGTAGAAAGTATATTGTAGTAATGGGTTGTTGTAGTCCTATGGTAGTTAGTTTTTTATAAGATATAAAATGTATTTATTATTTTTTATTCTGAATAAAATATACGTAAAACATTTTGTTTTTCATTGATGCATTTACATTCATATTGACATAGATCTATGTTTAGGTATCTCATAGAATTAAGATAGATGTCAAAATAGAATCATCTATGTGAATGATTTTCCATGTTTCTAGCCAGCCACAGCAGTTGGTACATTCTTTTAATATGTTTTGCATGGTTTTTTCTGAAGCAAAAAATTCAGAATTTGAATATTAAGTATGGATAGCATCTGTTAGCAATGAAAAAGATTTTTCAATTTAGATGTTGGTTGTCGTTTTTTTCCAGAATATAATCTGTATGGATAGTGGCCATGTGTTCATAGGTGGAAGCATACTCCATTCATTTCTTTATAAACGTTCTGTTCCTTATCAACGCTCACATTAGATGTTGCGTTTGCAGCCTTCGTGGCTTGGTGAAGGAATATCTCTATAGCATGTTTATCCTAAAATAGCAGTTTAGTGTGTTAATCAGATGTCTAGTATTTTTATGCCTAAGCCTTTTCCATATAAGGGGTATTTGTTAAAGCCTTCTTATATATTCTTGTATTTCTTTCAGCGTTAAGTTAGTAATAACAATTTGTACTTATTAAATACTCATATAATAAAGAACAAACATAAACATCATAGTATATATTCTGCATAAAATTATTCAAAACTCAAAATTGTAACACGTTGGGGACAGAAGCATGTCCTACCTGTTGAATATGGCATGGAACAAGCAGCAGATGTTCTATTATTGTGATTAGCAGTGTATTTAGTGCAAATAAGTCTTCTTATAATAATACACTTTCCCTCATCTCTTAGGGAAAGTGTATTAATGTGTGTGAGGCTGGTCCTGGTGGAAACAGTGTGGAGAGTTCTGAATCATTGTAGATATAGTTCCAGTTGTGTAGTATAACGTTATTGGTCCATATTCTTTGTTCATTGTAAAGTTGTTGATTGTAAGTTGTGTAGTATAACATTATTGACCTGTATTCCAAATTCATTGACTATGGGGAAGATGTGTGGAGTTACCTGGATAGTTATTGAGGGTCAAATATAAGCCAATTCTACCTCATTGCTTGGTTATGGATGAGATGTGATTTGATGTGATTTGGGTGGTATAAACTGAAAGTTAGGAGGCTCATTGTATTAGAGTATTGTGCTCTGTGATTTTCCTAAATGATTTTTGTAGAGAAATAAATTTGGTCCAAAGAATTGAGTTATATAAGTGGTTAAATGTAAATTTAATGGTGGGTACAGGTTGTTCATGAGTGTTGTAACATGATGAAGATCTTCTATAAAGTCTGTGAATATAATGAAAATATTATCAATAAATCTTTTGCAGAAGGTGATGCTGTGTTGGAATTGTCCAGTAATGGTTTTGTCTAGTGTGCCCATGAATATGTTAGCGTATGGTAGTGCCATGCGTGTACCCATCATGGTCCCTATCATTTGTAAATAGTAACGATTGTCAAATTGGAATGTCGTGTTTGTGAGAATGGTGTCAATCATAATCTGTGTATATGCTATAGGTGGTGAATTGGGTGGTCTCAAGTCATGTGGTGTGTTATTAAAGAGTCGTTTGATAGCTTCTATACCATCTCTATGGGGTATGTTAGTGTACATGGAGGTAACGTCAGCAGCGACAAAGATGTATTTGTGAACTTGAGTAGATACATTGTCTGTGCTGAATTTTTTTTTTGATAAAGGAAAAACATGCAAGGGAGCTGCTGCTACATTGACTGAAGGTTTGGGTTGAGACAGCAATAAGTTTTTTCATTATTCTTTTTATTTTTCTTCTTTTTATTAATAAACTGTATAAAAAAATCTTAAAATTTATTCAGCTAGTTTTTTGTCAATAATATTCATAAAAATTTCCTAAAATATATCATTCCCGAAGATGGGTAAGGTTCCGAAGGTTGGGTAAATTTAATAATTGAAACTAATAAACTTTTTAAATCTATCGTAGATAAGAGTTGCCTTTTATTGGAACAAATTAGTTTAATATCAAAATTATAACACCATGCACTTAAATATTTATATACTGCCATGATATAGTCAGTAAAATGTTGGCTTTTTTGTCATGATACTTGTAATAGCATCTGTCACACTATTTTGATTGGTTAGTGCAAGAAGTGCACTATTTTGATTGGTTAGTGCAAGAAGTGCATTGGTTTTTTCTGTCTGTTGGATAATAACATTGCTCACAATGTTATTATCCACTTTAAAATTGAGTGAATAGAAAGCTAAACACAAGCATCTCTTGCGCTTATGGGCAAATCAGAGCCAGACATAAGACTTAAAGAAGAGTTGTTAATTATTAAAGTTGTAACATGTAATAGTGTGCAATCCAAGAAGAATTGTTTTAAGAAGTGTTGAACATTAGAGAATCTACAAAAATGGACAAGTTTAGGTACCACTGAACATTCTAAAACATGTCATGGTACCTTTGATTTGCTACTTTCAAAGACCTTAGTAATTTTTACTAAAAACTAAACCATAAGAATCAGCATATCTTTTAAAATTAATATCTTAAATTAATTATATTTTATGCCTTTTGATGCCTGCTTTTTTAACGATTTGCAATATGTATTTTTTAAAACAGTTTTTTTCATCATACTTATCAATACTGATCTGATTAGCAAAATATCACTAATATTTGATTAAATCGTAATGTATTTAAAAAAATTTATATGCTGCCTTTTTAGGTGTGTATGAATATATGTGTAAGTATATTATATACTGTAATTTCTATTTTATGTTTTTGTAAATGACTAATTTTAATAGATTTTTTTTAGTTTGGTTTGTTGGATAGAGAGTTAAATAACATGACAAAAGTATTGTTTTTAATGATGGTGTGCTTGTCATTAGCAATCATTGTTATGAAGGTGAAGATTTTACTTTTTGATTTACAAAATTAAAAATAAGATATTATTTTTTTCAACTAATTTGCTTCCAACAAAGTTGCTAGCAACCACTATTTTTAGTTGGGAGTAAGGTGCAACCTTAGTTGGAAGTAAATTGCATTATCATGAAAATGTGACAAAGAGTTAAGCTTAATAACTGAAGTAGGTTCTTCTATTTGTAATGCATTTTTGGAACTTGCTTTTTATTTTTTTCATCATTTATTTCTACATTCTTTCATAATACCAATACAGTTGTGTCAACCATCTGAGAAATAAGGTTATCTAGAATATTATTAATATAGATTAGAAACAACATAGAACCAAGGATGGACCCTTGTACAATCTCTCGGCCTTGTTTTGTTCATGGGCATAACAAGGTTGTTATAAACTTATAACTGTAAACTTAATTTGTAAAGTTATAACTATTAAACATGCCATTTTATGCTACATACACTGAGCTTTGTCTATTTTGAATTCAATTAGATATTTGAAAGTTTTGAATTATTGAAATATTTTATCAGATTTTTTTTGTTAGCTTTCGAATTGGATTTTTGAAAACAGAAGTTTTTAAAAAAACAGCTGTTTTACTGTTAAAAAAATATTTTTAAAAAGGATCCCAAACTCCCGACACATGTTGTGTTCATAATAAAGATAATGTTAAAAAAAAAGGTTTGAACCAAGTTTTTTTGATTAAAAATAAATAATGAATGCATACCGAGAAAAACTTATGTTGTTGTTTTAGCCGAAGCTCGCCTTCTCCATTTTTTTTCAATAACTCAGAGTCTTTAAATTATAGGTCGCAATCTACAGACTTTGGCGATTCCTTTGAAGCGCGTTTAATTCATAAAGGTTTTAGTATTTGACGTCACAGTAGACTTTTAACAAATAAAACTCTGGAAATATTTTTATTTATTTTTATTCGAACATTTTTTGATTATATGTTAAGTTTTTTTTTCTTTCTGTTTTTAACATTTAAAAAGATATTAAAAACCTCAAATATTTTATGCTGGTTTGTTGCTATAAATCGTTATTGCGCCATGTATTTAATGTTTATAAATTATGAATATTTATTATCTCAATCAAGACTCTAATAAAAAATTGTTTTACATTATTTACCCTTATAAAATTAGTAAAAGCATTTTTATTTGGTTAGATAATATTTCGTCTCAATTTGCTTTGCATGAAGTTCGGGAAGTCAAGCAAAAAAAAATTAGTTTGAATAATCACTTTGAAATATATTCAAAACAAATTATTTTAATGACGGCGATTTAAAAGTTTTTTATAACAAATGTAGGTAAAAAATAAATAATTAAATAAAAAGTTCAACAATAAACATCATTTCTTTATTATATTGCAACTGTAAATATTGAAATATTAACTTGAACTAAATTTACTTATTATTTAGAACGACTAAACAATAAAAATAAAAAACCACTAAAATTATGCGATATTGTGTTGTTTATTTATTAATTGCTGTTGGTAATGTTGTTTATGTTGATTATTTTCATTATTATCAATATAGTCCCAGATTAATCTGTTAGTTGCTTTGTTCATTGTTGCTTTATTTCTAATTTAATTTTATCTCTAAGTATAAATTTATGTTAAGAAAGAAAAATTTTTATTTCATCGCTCGCTCTTTTTATAAAAGAGTAGAACAAAAGAGAAAAAAAAGTTTCGCATAATTAAACTTCGAATGAATAAGAGTTGTATAGAATATTTTTTTTTTTTTTTTTTTGCGTCACTCGTTCTTTATTCAGATGAGAGGAATAAAAGTTTAATAGTAACTTTTCTTTGAATAAATGAAAATTGGAAGAGAAAATTGCTTGAAAATTTGTATTTGTTGTGTTTTAAATTTTTTTTAAATTTTCATGTTAAGAGACAAATGCCAAATACGATACAAATTGGGAAATACCAAATATAATATGTTTTTTACAAGCTTTATGACATTTTGACAATTTAAATTACCATTTATTTTGAATTATTGCCATTAGTTAATGTGTTAATTATTGCGTTATATAATAATAGTTTGTCCGTATTTTTATTTGATGTTTTTTATTTGATGGTTATAAATTATTGAACAGTAAACTTATAATCAAAATTTATAACGCCGACTTGTGTTGCTGTTAATTGTACTTTTTTTTTTTTTTTCAAAAAATTTTTATAATAAAAAAAGTTAACAGTTCATCAAATATCTCTAATTAATACTGTCAGTTTATGAAATTAATTGTTAATACTTTTTTTCGACGGGAAAACAAAAAATATCATAGCATAAAAATAACCAGAGAAGTTAGAAAAAAGTTCCCATTGTTTAAATAAAAATAAGTAAGATTCAGAATATATAATACTGCGCTCTCTTGCACAAAAATGAGAGTCTGTATACATAACATTCTATATAATGTAAAACACTCATATAAAAATCATAAGATTCGTAAGTAAAGCTTTAATATTTGTTTTAATTTAAAAACGAAAGAAATATAAGTAAGATAAATAAATCTAAAAATTATTAAGATATTGGTAAAAAAAAAGTTCCTCTTATGAAATAAAAAGCTTTTATTATTTTTGATTTTTACAAAAATTTGTAGTAAAAGTTGTTTTGCTATATGTTAATTTTTTTTTTTTAAATTAAAATAGAAAAACGCAGCTTTGTTTAATTACACTTTTCTTTTGTTAAAAATCTACCGTGACGTCAAATGCTAAAACTTTTTATGAATTAAATGCGCTTCAAAGAAATCACCAAAGTCTGTAGATTGCGACGTATAATTTAAAGACTCCGAGTTATTGAAAAAAATGGAGAAGTCAAGCTTCGACTAAAATAACAACATTAGTTTTTCTTGGTATGCATTCATTATTTATTTTTAATCAAAAGAACTTGGTTCAAACCTTTTTTTTAACATTATCTTTAATATGAACACAACATGTGTTTGGGATCCCTTTAACAGTTGTCTTACTGTTTTTTAAATTTAAAATAATTTTTTTTTTATATAAATATGATTTTTTTTTAATTAAGTACAACTTTATTCAATACTTTAAATCCTAATATGTTGTTTTTTTAAAAAAACTTTCAAAAATACAAGCACTGATAATAACTTATCTGGAAAACCTGATCTTTATTTTGTACAGAAGTTGACACACAGAAAATACTCTTTCATATATCCATATATGTGGGCTTAATTATTAATAATGCATCATAAAACTTTTGTAAGTTTTCTTTAAGTTGGCATTGTATATTTTGAGTTAATTGAGCTTAAAATCAATTAACCACTTAAAATTGTCCACCAAACACTGCTTGTGATTCATTTTTTTTTTAGCAAAAAGTTTTTCTTGTAGAGTTAAAATTTTATTTGTAGATTTATTAGGAGTTTTAATGTCATTGACAATAAAAAGTTGAGATGCCAACATGCCTGCAAGAGTTATTGTATATCTAATCAGGCTGTTATAGAGTTACTAAGGCTGTGAAGTAAATTCCCGACATTTATTGTATTAAAGTATCCCAACATTTATTGTTTCTATTCCTCAAGTTATCCATGTGTTCCAGCAAGTTTTTACTTTGATAAAGCTCAATTTTTTTTCAATAATGAGACTTGACTATTTATTTTTAAAAAGCTGATTTTGAACAGTTGACAGTTTAATGTATTTTATCAATTTGCTTCATAATAGTCTTTGCACTCAAAAGTATCATTTTTGTTATTATCAATATCTCAAGCACCCATAAAGTCTTCACTAATAAATTTTTTCTTATAAAATGTGTCACACAATCTAAGATGTAGATCATGATTAAGAAATACTTAACCAAGTTATATATATATATATATATATATATATATATATATATATATATATATATATATATATATATATATATATATATATATATATATATATATATATATATATATATATATATATATATACATATATATATATATATATATATATATATATATATATATATATATATATATATATATATATATATATGTAAAATAGCCTGCTGCTGGGGGCTTCAGTACATACATCGACTGACAAATAGCCTGACTCGCAGTGGAGTGCTGCTACATGGACTGAGGGTTTGGGATGGGGAAGCAATCATTTCATTCATCATTCTTCGTTTTTTCTTCTTTTTCGAAAAAAACGGTATAGCTTAAGGTAAGCAGAAAAAGTGAGCAAATGCTTATCAAAACACGCTTTAGTAAGTGTGTATATATATATATATATATATATATATATATATATATATATATATATATATATATATATATATATATATATATATATATATATATATATATATATATATATATATATATATATATATATAAATTATTTTGCGAACACAAATGTGATTAAAAAAATTGAATTGGTGAAAAGAAGAACAGTACAAGTCCAATATTTTCATTTCGAGATAATCAATGTTTAAGTTTTAAAAATTTATAATTTATAAACTATTTATCAATCTACTTTATGGCAAAAAGTAATGAAAGAAAGATGGACTAGTATTATTTTTGTAATACATAGAGAGATTGACATAAGTACATAGAGAGATTGACATAAGTACATAGAGAGAATGACATAAGTACATAGAGAGAATGACTTAAGTACATAGAGAGATTGACATAAGTACATAGAGAGATTGACATAAGTTAAATGAAATTATGAAAAAAAGTGCAAATAAAAAAAAAAGATCTAGTACTGTTATTCTCACCAATTCATATATATTTGTTTTTTTTTTTTTCAGGGTTTTAAAGGTCCATGGTGGAAATTTTTTATAAGATTTATAATCTTATTTTCCTATATAATACCAATAAGGTATGTATGTATTTGTATGTAAGTTTTTATTGTGTTTGTATAGAATGATTTTAAGTTTACTATGCAAACTAATAAAATTTATTTTTAGTTTGAGAATAAATCTTGATATGGCAAAACTTTGTTATTCTTGGCTAATTTCCAAAGATAAAAACATTCCTGGTACAGTTGTTCGAAGCAGTACCATACCAGAAGAACTTGGTCGTGTCTCTTATTTACTAACTGATAAAACAGGAACTCTTACTCAAAATGAAATGGTTTTTAAAAAATTGCATTTGGGAACAGTCTCATTTGGTCAAGATTCTATGGAAGAAGTTCGAACTTATCTGACATCATTGTATTCACGCTCAGCTGATACTATTGCTGCTAAAAAAACGGTAATAAAAGTTCAACACATAAATTATAAGTTTATTACTGAATTATATGTCTGTTTATTGTCACTATTTGTCACTATTGTCACTTTTTAAATTTAATTTATTTAATTATATGTCTGTTTATTGTCACTATATTTTATGTTTTAATATGAAAAAAATGAGAAATAATGAAAAAAAGATTATAAACAAGAAGAAAATTAACTAAAATTTACCAGAGCATATGTTTTAAATATTACTTGTATGAAACAGATGTAAATCTAATATGGATCTTGGTTGATTTGATTTGTATATAGAGTCTGATATAATGAGACTTTAAAATAATTTATTATTAAGTTATTATAAAGTTATTATTCATGGGAGAGTTAATAAAACTAACTTCTATAAAGGGAGGTTAGTCTTAATACCTCCCCAAAGAATAAAGTAAAATTGTTTATCTTTTTTTTATTAACTAATGATCACTTACCTTATCCAATCAATATTTTGAAAAGAGCTATTACAGTTCAAGGTCATAATAAGGTAATATAAATACAAAATCAAAATACTTATTGTTATATCCTAAAATTAAAAAAAAAAAAGAATTAAGGGAAATAAAAGTGCATTGCTACTTTATTCAACTTCAAAAGTTTATACAAATAAATGAAAATTAAAAGCAACCATTCCTTTTCAATATTTGAGGTCTGAAAAGTAAATGCACCAATTTTAAAATTAACTTCGCCAATCTGGTGGACAAATAGCCAAAGGTATTATTGGTCAGACCAGGTTAATTCATTGATATATATTACAGTAATTTATATCAATTGGTTATTTTGTGTAAAATTTTTTCATAATATAAAAATCAGCAATTGCTGATATATGCTTTTCCCTTAAACTATGAATGGATGTTTAGATAACATCTCTGACGTCATACTGAAATAGCCTGCTGCCAGGGGCTTCAGTACATACATCAACTATCTTAAAGCCTGCTGCCCCTAGGGAGTGCCACTCATTGACTGAGGGTTTGCCATGTGGTAACAATCTTTTTTTCATTATTCCTCATTTTTTTCATATATATATATATATATATATATATATATATATATATATATATATATATATATATATATATATATATATATATATGTATGTATATATATATATATATGTATATATATATATGTATATATATATATATATATATATATATATATATGTATATATATATATGTATATATATATGTATATATATATATATATATATATATATATATATATATTTATTTATATATATATGTATATATATATATATATATATAGATAGATAGATAGATATATATATATATATATATATATACATATATATATATATATATATATATATATATATATATATATATATATATATATATATATATATATATATATATATATATATATATGTATATATATATATATATATATATATATATATATATATATATATATATATATATATATATATATATCTATCTATATATATATATATATATATATATATATATATATATATATATATATATATATATATATATATATATATATATATATATATATATATATATATATATATATATATATATATATATATATATATATATATATATATAAATATATATAGAATAACAGAAAGAGTTTCAAAAAAATCTTTGTTTCAAGCAATTTTCTCTTTATAATTTATAAAAATATAATTTATAATTTATAATGAAAAATTTCTTATAAATGATAAGAAAACACTTAAAAAGTAGGGAACCCAGTTAAAAGCAGTTCAAAAATTTTTAGTTTAGTGGTTGCATATATGCCTGTATATAACTTATGATTAATAAGTTATTTTTAACAAGGTTTAGACATTGCATTTAGGGTAGGTTGCCGATATTATACCCTCTAAGAATAAAATCAAAAATAGAGAAAAAATACAAAGTAGAAACAATGAGAATTTATTGTATTATATAATTTGGGGATAAACTGTTCTAAAAAAGTTGAAATATGTCAAAATTTAAACGTTGGTATTTGATAAGGAACTAAATTTAATAAAATATGCTGTCAGTACATTTAAGGAAACCAGATCCTAAATCGTACTATTATCCAATATTTTACCTATATTTTGATTTTACAAATACTATATTAATTTGCAGTACATTTTGAATAATTTTTGTAAAGATCTTTGAGTTAAAAAAATATTTTGTATCATTTTGCATTTTATACAGAAAAAGTCTTCTGTCTTGGCTGTTGTTTTAAGTTGTTTGGCATGTCTTTCTTGGTGTTGTTGTTGACACAGGAATCAAAAAAGCCAATCCTACTAAACGTTCAGTAAAATACCTATTAAAAGATAAATAAAATTTTTTAATTTAAATATTCTTGAATCCATTGAAGTAGTTTGGGATCATTGAATGGTGCTCCTTCAGCTAATGGAGCTTCATTTCTAAACTGTCCATATATAAATGCCAAAAAAAAGACTTATATTTGTTATTATTTTTTTTACTCTTGCAGTAATAATAAATTGATCCTGAAACAAATATAATTTTTGGTGAATACAGCTGACATTGACCTTGTCAGCTGTATTCACCGCTTCACAAACCAATCATCTTGTTCTGCAAGTTGCTGTAGACAATGATAAATCTTTTACTGAGTGACCAGGAGCCTGAGCCACTGTTCCAACCACAAAGAGTGCACAGCGATAAGTAATACCAACCTGATCAAGAGATGATACAACATTATCAAATATAAATTTTATCTTCATTTTTGTAGAACCACTTGTGCTAAAATTAGATGGAATCTGATATTCAAAAAACAAGGGCTACATGCACTCATAATGTTAACTGCTGATAAAGAAGGTTCAGTTTTTTCCATCAATTCGGCTTTACTGCTTTGATGCCTCATTTCCATTTTAGTTTCTCTAACTCGTTTCTGTGCCTTCCTATCAGTTAAATTCCGATCAATTCTTGCCATACTACAAAGGTATTGATTGTTTTGTTCCAATCAGAACAATAAACCATAAGAAAAAAAGTCATTCTTATTGAAAGTATATTTACAAAATGCTAATTCACAAATCATTTTTATGGAAAAGATGGTTGATCACAAAGATCGTTTTGCTAGTTCATCAAAAACTAAAAAATCTGAAACCTAGCACACCATTTGAACCTGACGGTATACCAAATATACTTTTAAAACAGTTAGCACATATAATATGTATTCTGCTTTCATATATATTTGAATCAAGTTTTACGTTAAGCTTATTACCAAAATAGTGGCTTCAGGCTTCGGTTCCTCCTATTTTTAAAAAAGGATCTACTTCAGATGCTAACAATTATAGACCTATCTCCCTCACATGTACTAGCTGTCATGTTATGGAAAGTATTGTTAGTTCAATTATCACTGATTATCTTAATATAAATAATCTAATAACACCTTATCAACACGACTTTTTATTCAAAAGATCTATGTGCACAAATCTTTTAAAGTCAACTAATGACTGGAATAAAGCTTTAGACAGCAATTTAATTACTAACGTGGTGTACATAGATTTTCAAAAAGCATTTGACTCTGTACCTCATCCAAAACTTTTGAAAAAACTTGCAATGTACGGCATAATAGATAACCTGCTTCATTGGATATCAGCATTTCTTTCCAACAGATATCAAAGGGTTCTGCTCGGAAATTCACTATCTAATCCAACCAGCATCCTTAGTGGAGTTCTACAGGGTAGCATTTTGGGTCCAATGTTATTCTTGTTTTATATTAATGATCTACCCTCTATAGTAAAAGATCTTAATTGCTCTCTAATACTATATGCTGACGATATCAAGCTATATAGTTCATTTAAGGATGCTGATTAGTCACAATCTTGCTCTTGCCATTTATAAAGTTTATCTCTTGTCAAAAAAATGGCAGTTAAAAGTAGCCAATAATAAGTGCTTTACTCATAGAATAGTACCTATTTCATTTTGTAAAGATATAAATTACAACAGCAATTAGGAAATCATAATTTAACCTGGTCTGCAAACCCAAAAGATCTTGGTGTGGCCATGGATTCTTACTTAATTACAATAATCGTATTTCAAATATCGTCACCACTTCGTGTGACTATGTGTCATCACTTGAAGATAAACATTCTTATGAAGTGTAACTTTCGTAATTGACAGTGTGAAAATTTATATTTGTAAATTCTCGATTTAGTTTTATATATAAGTCTTGTCATTTTTTTATATAATTCTTGCTCCTTATTTGATGAATTTACTCATGCTTGCTAATTTACAGAGTAAGTTCATATAAAATTAATAAGAACGCCAGGTTAAAAATTTTGTTTTTTGTGACTTTAAAAACAAATGTTTTCACTTTTTTTTACTGTTGACATCACGTGATATTATATTCAAAACTTGATTGGTTTTCGCTTATGGAGATTCGCAAAAAGTCAAAATGAATTTGACTTTTTTTTTGCTGCAGCAAAACGCTGTAGCAAAAAAAAATCAGCATAATTGTCAAAAATGTTTAATCTGCGCATGCTTATTGACGAAAAAATTTGCTTCACGCGAATATTTGTCTTGTGGAAAACGTATATATATATGTATATATATGTATATGTATATATATATATACATATACATATATATATATATCTATATATATATATATATATATATATATATATATATAAATATATATATATATATATATATATATATATATATATAATATATATATATATATATATATATATATATATATATATAAATTATCTTGCGTATTTATTATGTGATTGGAAAGCACAATGTCAGAGTCCTTCATATTTTATGGACCTGCATGTCCTTTAGAACATGTATCACTGTTCTAGTAAATTTTAATCTAATCTAATCTACAACTTACTATAAAAATGCTTTATTTCATCATTTTTTATAACTTCTGGTGCATGATTGGTTATATCAAAAAGTTCTTCAAGGTCATCCTGAAAAGTTCCTTCTTTCACTTGACAATTGTCCAATTTTAATCCTGTGTTTTTTTTTTCCAATATTCAAAAAGTTACATCATTATTCAAAAAAGGATGTTACAATATTCAAAAAATTACACTAATATTTAAAAAGGGATGTAAATCAAAACTATAGAGTTATCTCAAAAACATCAATATTGTGTAAAATACTTTTTTTAAGGGTTTCTTTAAGGATCCATTTTAGGTCCCTTGCTTTTTGTGATATATATAAATGACCTACCAGACAATATTTCCAACTATATAAAACTTTATGCAGATTACAGCAAAATAATGGCAGTTATAAAAACACCAGCTGATGCGCTATCTTTGCAAAGCATTATTAACAAAGTCGTTTGAATGGACTAGAAATTAGCACATGTTTTTTAATCTTAATAGGTGTAAGGTTATGCATGTTGATTGCAACAAAAGTAAATCAAAGCATAATTAGTGAGTGACCAGGGCCCGGGCTAAAGATGACACTTTTTTCAAACCTGGCCCCGGCTAAACTATAAGATTTAGCAGGATAGCCAGGGCTAAAAAAAATTTATAATTCTTTTTATATTATAATTTTATGCTTACATTTACTATTTATTAAATACTGGCATATATTTTAAAATTTTCAAAATTTAATTTACTTCCAACAAGATTGCAAACAACCACTATTAAGTTATAAGTTACTTTAAAATAGAGAATAAGTAAAAAAACTAGGAAATGGTTAATTGAAGGCTTGAAAAGTTGTAGGTTGTATATAAAAGAAAAACATGAAAATGGCTAATAGTTTTAAGGTTTTTTCAATGCGCAAGGAAAAATCTGGATTAATAAAAGTTTTTATAGCATGAAGGGACAGATACATCAAAAGGATGCAACTTGTTTAAATAGAAACAAGCAAGAATAAGTTTTGGTTTATCGTAATAGAGATATTTGAGCATTGACCATGAGAAAAAAAGAAAGAAATGCAATCTTACAACAATGGCAGAGTGGCTCAAGCTTGGCAAATAAAGCAGGTCTAATTTATTATTATTATTGTTTTTTTTATGTAAGTTCACCTCCCCAAGGCTGAAAACACCACTACAGACGAGGAGGCTACTTAATTGTGGTTATAACCCTCTCTCAACTATATAACTTGGAAACATGAACCTTGACAACTAAGGCCACTGTGCAGAGAAACAACTTTAGTGTGGTGCTACAAAGGACATGGTGAAGTTCAAACTTGGTACCTCTCGCTTATGAAGTGAGCACTCTACCACTACACCATGTCAGCATTACATTTACAACGTGCTTTTAGACTTTGTCTGAGAGTGAGATGGTTGTTATTCATCAATATAGGAATACCAACATTATTGCAATATTTTTTTGCGGTAAATAAATGAGTTTTGTTGTCTAACAAAAATTGCAGATTATAAGTCCAGAATTTAAATGCATAAGCCACAGCAAGCCTGTTTGGGCTTTTTGTTTCAGAAAAGAAGTCAGATTAAAAATCAGCTGCTTGTTCTAAGCAATCAAAAAGTGAAGATTTTTTGTCAAGACAAGAGTATAAAGTTGAGTTGTCAACAAATGGAGCCACTTTATATGTTAAATTTTGATAAAGGTTGATATTGTAGATGAGAAACAATACAGGAGCAAAGATTTAAGGGTACCACAAGATACCTTGTGGTACCCTTAAAGTTACTTGAAATAAAGAAAAGTGTAAGCCTTCAAGAATAGCTTAAATACTGCAGTTAGTAAGAAATAATTTAAAAATCTTAAAACCTTTGTATAAAGAACTCATAACAGAGCGAAGACTAATCGTATGATAGTTGGAGAGGTCAAAGTGTTTTCTAGAGTTTTGAAAAATCGGAACCACTTATTTAGCACTTTTTAAAAATTAAATATTATTAAACATATAATTAATAAGATTAAATGTTAGACTTACTTTAGTTGATGATATTGTTGAAGACTAACTAAAAGTCTCTAGAACTTAACATCTTATATAAGATACAAGATTTAATAAAATGAGAATAACAGAGCTTAACATCTAGTAGGACCATTTTACATTGGCTTCTTGGAATAATAAAAGGACATTTGTTTTTAAGAGAGGTGTTTTTGTAAAAAAGATGAAATAAATGATCAATAAAACAACTGCTCAAAATGGTAAAAAATATGGAGTAGAATGAGGTTTGACTTAAAATTGAAGAGTAGGAATAAAAGGTTCCAAACTTTTAGTCCAGAAAGAATAAAAGCTTCAGAGACGCAACAAATACTACACTATGTGTAGTATTTGTCAAAAGAGATGATGATAATGATGAGATGATGATGATGATGATGATGATGATGATGATGATGATGATGATGATGATAGTGATGATTATGATGATGATTATGATGATCATTTTGATCATAATGTTTTGCCAGCTTACCCTTTATTTGGGCAAAACACAGTAGCTGTGGGTAAACCCATGTATTTATTTATTTATTTATAATGATGTTTATATATACATATAAATACAAAATATAACATGAACTTTGAATAAAACAAAATATACTTTAGGATGTATAAATGTTTATGCAGCCCCGGTCACAAACCCCGGCCTGGGCTATATTTTATCAACCCCAGCCCCAATCAAATATCAACCCTGGTTGTTCAAAAATTGTATAGAGTGACTCAACTTTTTTTTAAATTGTGTTTGTGTACCATGGAATGAACTTTCCAGCAACACCATCAACTTAATATTTTCAAGTCACAGTTGCAGCGTCTTGCAAATAATAGAACTTGTTGGCATAGCACTATATGATATTTTTGTAAAATTTGATTACTGAATAAACTAATCTAATTGTATTATAAGTTAATTAACTAGTGTGTTAAAAAGCAGAAAAAATTTGTGCATTTGTTGCAAAAAAAATTTAACATATCTGAGTTAAACAAGCTTACTCTTAAGTGTAAAGAAACAAATCAAAACAAAAGCATAGAACAAAAAAAACTCACAAAGTGAAACGCATACAGCTCTGAGCAAGCAAAAAAAAAGTTTTTTCTTCAAGTATTTTATTGCTAAAAAAACAAATACTATCCCTACAATGAAAAAGGAACAAAAAAATTATACAAATTATCAAAAACTATTTCAAAAAAAAAAAATAATCAAAAAATTCAAAAATTATTATCAAAACATAGTAATTTGAATTTCTCAAAAAAACTTGTGCAAGACTATCTAGGTGGATAGCTTATACATTCCGCCAAGTCCATTTTAGATAGATAATTTATAGCACTCATGAATTTTGTGAATTTTTATTGGGAAAATTGTAGTTTAATAGGTTTGCACATTTGCAGGTGTTTTTACTTTTTTTTTTTCTGTTTACTGTTTTAATTTTATAACAACAATAAAAACTTTTAATCTCATTTTTAAACTTTATTCCTTGCCACAAGGAAACAGCTTAAAATTTGGTAGTTTATAGCTTTTTGATATTAGAACTTTTTATGGTAACTCTGATATCATGCATGATCGTATATAGTATATAAGTTTCTTATTATTCACATAGACTGCTATATCATACACATTAGTGTATATTGTACAGTAGTGTATAGGCTGTGCTCAGCGGTGTATGACAGTATTATAATTGTATATATATATATATATATATATATATATATATATATATATATATATATATATATATATATATATATATATATATATAGTATTATAATTATATTATTATTATAGTATTATATATTATATAGAATGGAAACTATAAATTGTATACAAACTTGTATATATTTATATGTTATTTTTTTTAAGATTCGAAGAACTGTTGTAACACGTGTTTACGAAGCAGTAAAGGCATTAGCACTTTGCCATAATGTGACACCAGTTGTTGATGAAAAAAATCAAACTAGTCAAACTGAAGTTAATGATATCAGGTCTGATGACATTGTTTACCAAGCTTCCAGTCCTGATGAGGTCTGAATATTTTATTAATTTTTGTGTAATATTAGTTTTTACTTTAATATAGACAACCTTTAGTAACTTTAATAAATGCCAAACTTTAATATAGACAACATTAAGCAACCTATTTTAATTAAAATCAAGTTGAATATTTTTATATTAAACAAATACGAGTAAATGCATTATTAATTTTTTTTTTTTTTCAATTTTTAATGTAAAATTTTAATTTTTGAGACCGAGATCTCACATTTTTTTTGGATAATATTAGGAGTCCATCAATTGATTCTGGGAAAATTGATATATATATATATATATATATATATATATATATATATATATATATATATATATATATATATATATATATATATATATATATATATATATATATATATATATATATATATATATATATATATATATATATATACACACACAATTTTTTTATATCCTTTTTTAAACTCCAAAACATAAACCTTAAAAAGTTAAAATTTAAATTAAAATTTAAAAATAATTTAATTGTTTTATAGTTTGCTCTAAAAAGAAATATATCTAATAAGCAATTGAAAAAAAAATCAGAAATATATCTAAAAATCAATTGAAAAAGTAAGAAAAATAATTAGTTACTTTTTTTTAATTTAAATTGTGCATTTAATTTTAACAAATCAAATATTTTAAAAATTTACTTATCTAAGAAAAAAACTAAAACAGAACCAAAGTTTAAAATTTGTAACTTTATAGTTTTAATAACTTATAAATTTGTTACAAATATACCAAAAATTAAACAAATAAAAAATACGACCAGGCTCAAATAAATTTATCCTGATTTTAGGAAACAAAAAGTATAAGAAAACAGTTTTTTAAATTTGAAACACTTTTCTAGCAAACTATGAACTATATATATTTGAGATTTGTTAAAAAATAAAACTTGCCCAAAAAAAATACTTCAGACTGAATTTTTTTGCAAATCAAATTTTCTATTTTGTTTTGTTTAATTACAATCAGTCTTCATGACCTATTGTAGCTAGATGTGACCTGATTTTGATTTTACTTAATTATTAACATCTGCTGCTAAAAAGCTGTCTTTTGTTTAATTTTAAAATAATAAACTGATTTCAATTTTATTTTCACAATTTTTTTTAGGTATTTAAGCTGTATTTAGTTTTATCTTTGCATTCCTAACTTAAAATTAAAAAAAGAAGATATTTTAGCAAGCAAAATTAAATTAAACATTGCAAAAAGTAAACTTAAACTATCTTTGCAGTAAAATTTGAACTTCTAAAAGTGTTTGTTAAAGTTTGGCTAGAAAAATAGTTTTGTGCAAATAGCAAAGATAATCACAAGACAAGCAAAGTTGTTAAGACATGTATTGGTTATAGTGTTTTTTTTTCAAATTATTTATAAATATATTCTTAGCAATTTTTTATCAGTAATTCCTTCTTTAATATATTTTTCTTTGTTAAAAAGAAAATTATTCAAAGGTTAAGTTACTGAGCAATAGTGGTTGTGCTCTTTCTTTGTAAACATGTAATATAGCTTAGATCGTTTTTTCATTTTTTTCTGTCTGTTCAGTAAGGCAAAGTTTTGGAGTTATAAGATTCATACAAGGGTTTTGTTCTGAATTTATTCTCCTTTGATTTCTGTCTCAACCTTTAGAAGAGACAGAAATCAAAGAAGATATAATAAAATCAAATGAGATATAATAAAATGAAAAAATTCTTTAAAGTTTACTTTTTTAGGTTGCATTGGTTTCTTGGACAGAAAGTGTTGGGTTAACTCTTGTTAACAGGGACTTAACAATGATGACACTTAGATCACCTTTAGGAGACTTGTTGTCTTACAAAGTTTTGCAGATGTTTCCGTTTACATCTGAAACAAAGAGAATGGGGATCATAATAAAGGTTTTAAAAGTTTATAAGAAAAAAAAATTTTGTGGTATTAATTTAACATATTTTTTAACCAATTGCAAGATGTTAACGCTGTAATATTTGAAAAAATGAAGTCTAAATATTAAACAATAAGTCAAACTTTTTTTTTTAAGGATGAACAGTCAAATGAGATTGTTTTTTATATGAAAGGTGCGGATGTTGTTATGCAGAGTTATGTAAATTACAATGATTGGTTGGAAGAGGAGGTTTTTCAATTTTTAATTTTTTTTTTTTTTTTATTATTTCTATTTTTATTTTTTATTTTTGGTTACAATAATAGTTAGACCATCAAGTCAGGAGTATTTAGTTCAAAAGCCAAGAAATGATCAAGTAAAATCGCAAGCTTGTTGCTTTTCATAATAGCAAGTAAAAAAAAAAAAGCAAAAAATAAAAATTGTATTAGAAAAAAAGATTTTATTACAAAAGTATGTTTAAGAATAAATAATAAATAAAAAGTAATTTTCCTATCTTGTAAACAAACAAAAAAAACCTCAAAAGGAAGATCTTAACTCCAGAATTAAAAAAACCAATAACCCAAATATGGGTTATTGGTTTTTTTAATTCTGGAGTTAAGGAATTGTGTTTGAGAGAGGTTTGAATTTTTTTTTTAATATAAGACAATAAACAAAACTTTATACACCTAATAATCCACAGTATGCACTAATGAAAATGATAAAAACTCAGAGCAAGGTCTTGATATTTGTTATATTTTGTAAGTTGTTTGTACTGTGCTGTAAGTCTTTGTTTTGATAAAAAGAAATCAGGATTTATGCTATGCAAATTAATCATAAAATAATGTACATGCATAGTAAATTATGTAATTATTTTATAATAATATAATAGTTATAATTATTTTTGCTATTTTCACTTATTTACTACTACTTTGCATTAATTAAATATATAAAAATTTTAGTGTGGAAATATGGCAAGAGAAGGTCTTAGAACTTTAGTTGTAGCAAAAAAAGCAATTACAGATGAACAATATGCAGATTTTGAGGTTTGTAAAAAATGGTTTCTTGAAACTTTTTTTTTTATAAAATGTATGTAATTCACAAATAAGGCTTTTTACTGGTTGGTTTATTTAATTTTCACTTTTTTTTCAATTCATTTAAATTTAATTTATTTAGTATCGATATAATCAAGCAAAGTTGGCTATGGAAGAAAGAAGTGCAAAGGTTTGTTTTAATATTTTTGCCTTTATTTTTATTAATATATATATTATTATTAATATATATATATATATTATTAATATATTTTATTAATATATATATATATATATATATATATATATATATATATATATATATATATATATATATATATATATATATATATATATATATATATATATATATATATATATATATATATATATATATATAATAGGGTGGTCCAAATTTTACATATTATTTAAAATGCAGACTCCACAACCTTAAATGTTTTCTATATAATAACATAATACTGGAGTTAAAAAATCTTTGAAAAAAAAATTTTTTTAAGGTATAGTCTCTTAAAAGCTATAATCTCTTAAACATCAGACAGGCCCCTGGTATTATCAAGAAAAAAATTTCTTCAAAAGTTTATTATGTTGGGTCTCAAAAAAAGCAAAATTTTATAAAAATTTCAAAAATAATCATCATTTTATAAAAAAAAAATTATTTTAGCATTCACTGCATAGAAAATGATATTTTTTAACTAAAAATAAAAAATTTGCATTTAAAAAAAGTATTTTGTTATAATTTTTTTATCTTAATGTTTTTTATAAAATAATAACTATTTTTAAAATTTTTATAAAATTTCGCTTCTTTTGAGACCCAACATATATTTTGAAGAACTTTTTTCTTGATAATATTAGAGGCCTGTCTGATGTTTAAGAGACTATAGCTACTCCTAAAAAAAATTTTTTTTGAAGATTTTTTAACTCCAGTATTATGTTATTATATAGAACACATTTAGGGTTGTGGAGTCTGCATTTTAAATGTGTAAAATTTGGACTACCTTAATATATATATATATATATATATATATATATATATATATATATATATATATATATATATATATATATATATATATATATATATATATATATATATATATATATATATATATATATATATATATATATATATATATATATATATATATATATATATATATATATATATATAGCACTTTTCAAAATTGTGTATTTGCTTTTTTGATACCATCTTAAAAAATGTTTTTTCATCAATATTTTGAGGTTAAGGTGAATACATCAAGGTGCTAGAAATTTTTTTAAAAGTTTTAAAAAATTAGATTTTATTTTAAATGAAAATCATTTTTCCGACCCTAACCATCTCGTAAAGTAATATTTTTTGTCTTTGTGTTGAACTTTTTTCGTTGATCAATTTACCTGATCAATTTTAGTATACTTTTTGGTTTTTTTAACACTTATTGGTTATTTTTTAACACTTGTCTAAACTATCTTTTAATGTTTAAATTTGTTTGATTCTTTAGATGTTAAAAGTTGAAGAAAGTTTGATCTATGATATGGAGTTGCTGTGTCTTACTGGAGTAGAAGATAAGTTACAAAAAGATGTCAAACCTACATTAGAACTACTTAGAAATGCAGGAATTAAGGTATAGCAGATTTTTTTTTTCTTTGATTGTTTGATTGTTTATTTATTTTTCCATATAACTCTTCTTTTTTTAGGTATGGATGTTAACTGGAGATAAAATGGAAACAGCTATTTGCATAGCACAAAGTGCACGATTAGTTTCAAAAACACAGAGCATATACCAGTTTAAATCTGCAAGTAACTTTAATCTATTGTTTTTTTACTTTTTGTGTTAATTTTAGGTACTTTTACATAAACTAAAAGAACAATAGCACTCAAAACCACTCATAAATAGAATGTTACGCTTACATCAAATGTTGTGTAATTTTATACGATTGGCAAAAAATGTTGTGAAATATCACAAATTCATTTCATGGTGTAAAATCAACAACAAAAATTGTTGGTAAAAATAAAGTGTCAATAAATTATAGATAAAGTAGAATTATATTAATTAGTTTATTTATAGAAAATTATATTAAATGTTAAAATTAAAAAAATAAGTTTAGTACTAAGTTAGCCACATTTTGGATCTAGGCTGTTGTTACAAAGTAAATAAAATTTCACTTTTAGGTTTGTGATGAGAGTTACTTCAAATTAGGTAATAAGCTTGCAATGATAATGTATTCTATTTTCAAATGACTGGACAACTTATGATGTCAAACAATATGACAAAACAAAATATGAACTAAAAATTATAGTTTTGCTTTTTCATTAAAAGTTCTGAGTAAAATCTGTTAGACTAAGTGGAATATGTATCAACCTGTGAAGTACTATGAGTTTAACGTGTGAGTTTAATGAGTTTAACCTTTAACGAGAGTATAAACAAGTGTTTGCTCTTATTCAGGTATATCACAAAATATATGCATTCTAGCCTAATTTTTTTTTTGTCACAGTGAAGAGTTTCACTGAATGGCTTCACATGAATGGCTATAAATGCTGATAATGTTTTTGAGTCAAAAATTATATATAAATGTGTGTGTATGTATATATCTGTCTATATATGTATATATCTGTCTATATATGTATATATATATAGACACACAGAAACATATACGAAAAAGGAAAAGTCCAGAAAATCAACTTGAAAAATAAAATTGTGTGTATTTGATTCAGTATTTGTCTTTACATGTTGTATTATAAATCACTGATTATAATGTTATTTTTTACATTTGTCTGTTTACCACCTGTAGCAAAGCATTTTCTCTAAATACTTGTGTCCTTTATCTCTACCTAATCATTTCATTTTAAAAGAGAAATCATTTTATCATGTTTTTTCATTATTTTAATGTATTTTAGGTTACAAGTCGTGCAGAAGTTCATCAAGAATTAAATTCTTTTCGACGCAAGAATGATCATGCTCTTGTAATGAAAGGAGAGTCTTTAGAGGTGAAACTATTTGTACAACTGTATTACTACAACAACTACAACAGTTTGTACTCTAATTTTTCAACTGGGTTACTTCTCATATAATTTACTTAAGTTAAAACTTTCTTTTTATTATTTGTTATTATTTTTTTAATTTTTTTAATTTTATTAATAAATTATTTATAAATATATAAATTGAGACTATTATAAATTGCTCTAGATTGGATCACAGAATTCTAGAGTACATAGAGTACATAGAAGCTAGGGTACATAAGAAAGAAAGGTGTTCCCCATTCATACAAAAAAGCCAAAATGTTGTTAAATAAGTTTTGTTTTATATTACGTAATTTAATATATTTGTAACAAAGCTAATATAATATTTTTAATAAATAGAAAACATTTGGCAACATGCAATAACTTAATAATTTTTTTTCACAACTATTTTAATAACCATTTCATAACCATCCTGGTAACTGAATGCAAACAAATTTTTTATTCATATCTTTCTACAATATTATATTAAAAAAAACAGTTTTATATCAATGACTTTTTAAAGTCTTTTTAAGACTTTTTTAACACACCTTGTTTGAATCGATCAGCGTTAACAAAGATTGCTATGCTGTGGTTCATTTT